GAAAAGAGATGCAAGAGGAAAGATAACAGAAGAATATTCTTTTGTACAACAGCTGTAACATTTTAGTGCGAGATGAATGGCTGCTCTAGTAGATGTTCCGTGAAAAAAAGGGATATAAACTCTCCATAAAATAATGAATGGGGGACAGACCGCACCAGAAGCTGCACTTAACAATTTTAACAGCTAAAACGCCGGTCAATTTACAATTCCAGACTCGGGAGAAATTATAAATGCCCTTCACTATTCGCAAAAGCTTGTAACTCACCTCTGTAAAACAGCTCTTGTACATGCAGCCATAGCAAACTCTTCATTCAAACACATTACTACTGGAAACAAGTTATTTACTGGCAACAGATTTTATGAGAAATGAGGCATACCAATGCGATCTTCATTCAGTAAGCAGCCACAATCTTGTATCCTGACTGCGTGTACAGGGATCTCTTTGTCCTTTTTTCTTCTTGGGGGTGTCACGACTGCTTCAAAGACTGTATTTAAGGAGACCTTGTTGTAACATGAGTACGTGAGATGCGTACTAAAGCCAGGACTACTCTACTTCAAAAATACTGGATTAAACTGTTTGAAAACTCTTAATATCCAGTGACTTCCCCTGTGAAATGTAGTTCCTTAGGAAAAAAAATAAAATCTAAGACTTGCTGTGAATTATTTTTTGTAACAGAAATAAATTATTTCCTTCTCTAGGGCATAACATGCCATCTCAAGTAACACTACCTCACAGATGTGCTTACTGTAATCTGCTTTCAGTCAAATAAAATTAAAGCAAATTGCTGTTCCAGCACCCAATTATGAACACAAGAAAGTTTAAATGGCATTTAAAACCAAGTACGTGCAAGAACCAGGTATTATTCTTTCAGCAAATAAACAATTCTCAGCCCTGAACACTTAATAGTGATAACACAAGACCGCATTAGAAAGAGAGCTCCCCACTTCCAGGGAGCATTCTCTTTAGAAGAAATCAGTTCAGTTCAGTGACAGAGAGCAGATGAGCAAATAGGAAACAGCAAACTGTAAATAAATGGAACACAAATATTCTGGGATTTGGGTTTCTGGTTTGTTTGTTTTTTTCCCTCGATTTAAACAAACTCTTAAAAATAAACTCAAATGTTTTCCACAGCAAAGCTGAACAGATCCCTCACTGAAAATACAGCTGAGGTGCTCAGAGAAACCAGAAACTTTTCTGAATGTGTCTGGATGCGAACTACAGACGGCCGGTCATGTAACAAACAAACTTGGGCTCTGGGGTAATTACCACTTTTCACCAGGCTCTGTTTTAAACTTTCTTGCTTAAAGACAAGTGAATAACACAGCTTCATGATAAATTTAAAAACAGACTGGCACAGTTATAAACTGAAAGCTCCTGTGTTTACAGCAAAAGACTACAAATAAGGTGAGTGAATGCTTTAAAAGAGAAGAGAGAGGTCCTTGCTCATATAAAACCCAAACACAGTTACCGCATCTATGTACTTCAGCTTCCACGTGCTCTGTAACCAGAAGATTAAGCAGAAGATTAAGGACTATTCTGGTCTGCAAAGCAGCATTACAAAAATGTCAGGTTTTTCTGCTACTTTGATGACACTGACGATCAGTGTGGATATTTATGGCTGATTTTCAAGATCAAGCCATACTTAAAAAGCTAATACCTACACAACAGTTAATGGAGTTAACCAGTTTGCGAACTTTAGGATGAAACGAATAGAACAGACGATGAAGAGTAACATGACAAGTTACTCTGGGTTTTAAGTCAGTGATGCTCAAGTTTCATTTCACAGAATAAAAGAGGAATAAAACATTCAGAAAAGTGAATTTCTTTGCAGAAAAAAACATGGTGGTGTTTGGGCTTTTTCCCCCATTTCCTTCAGTTACTCTCTCAGTACTAAGAGGACCAATACAGTAAGAAGCTCCCTATCAGGATTTGAAAATGGTGCCATCTAACTTCATTATAGCTAGAAACAATAGAAGCAGCAGGAACAGAAACTAAAAGCTTGTTTACAAAGTTCCTTAAACCCAAAACATTCATAATTACACTTTGCAGCAACATGTTGTACAACGCCTTTTTTTTTTCCTTCTGTTTAACAACATCAAAACCAAGCCAGAATGCTTCCGTACAATAGCACCAGGTATTATCCATAAATACGTAAGAGCAGGCAATCCCTGCCTCTGACTGCTTAATGACACCTGAACTATGGACCAGACTATGTCATTCACTGTTAATTTTTTTATACGTATCCTGCTTTACATTATTTTAAACTCCTATGAAACCATTCACATTAAACCTCTTTCTAGGCATACATCTACGATACGTCTTTCAGCTTTCCCACGAAAATAGAATCACTGGGAATTGCAAGTTGCTGCTTCCAGTAGCACCATGACAATTTAGAGCAAAACCACTCAGACTGCAAAGGAGTTTAGGGAGGGAAAACACTCGGTTATTCAAACAGCACAGATGAATTTTCACCAGCGCTGCCATGCTGATACACTTGAAAAGTTCTAATGAACTTCAGGAAAGACTCATAGCCAGGACTTTGGTTTCCAAGCGCAATCTCCAACTCCCCTCTGAGCAGTGACTAACACCTGCGCTCTGCCACAATGCTGGGCCAGTACAACTTGAGGCTGACATACCCCATCTAAATGAGTAATCAATAAGCTTCTCTACATTTTACGTTTCAATCCAGCTACAAGGCATCTGATTCACAGCAAAAAATATTTAGCAGAAAATATGACCTGCGTTACATGGAGGGGGGGAAAAAAAGATTACTTTGTTTGGACCTTAAATTTCATGGATAAGTAGATACAAATCCACAGTAAAAAGAGAAGAGTCCCTGTAGAGCGAGTAGCACTGTGACAAGATACAGGAATACTACGAAGCCTGCAGGAGCATGGCTCCCAGGACTAGGAACCGGCCAGACGATGCAGCAGAGACGGGAGGCAGTACAGCCACCCACCAGAAACCCTCACCTCATCCTCACCACAGCGCTTAAGAGAAATAACTGATGCACATTTGTTTAAAAGCGTTCACTACGCTATGGCCAAGTCCTCCTGAGGAACTGTAAGATCTTGCTGTCTACACTCCCAGTGATCTTCCCCAGGCCCTTTTCCATCAGCGCTTTGTGATGTTCTTCATTGTCTACACAAAAATGCCCACTTTGAGGAGCCAAGAGCCACATTTTCTTTTTCTAGCTTTGACATACTTGATGCACTGTAAAGCGAAACAGCAAAACAACAGTACAGTGAATTTTTCTGGTTTTTGCAACACAAACACTTCTCTGGTAACATAAAACATAACTTCAAATAGATGGTTATCTGCAAATTCCACCACAGGTAAGCTCCAGCTGAACTCTGCAGACAAGGTAGAAGCACAACGAGCATGCTGGGTCACACACATGAGCAGCTGCTGGGACTCTTCCTAGAATACTAAACACTAAAAGCCATACCAGATGTAAAGCAAAAATGCTTGTCTGCTCTGTGAATCCCTGCTTCCCATATAGGATTTGGGTAGTGGGTCTTTCGACAGACAAGCGCAAAGTAGCTTCTGCTCACAAAATGGGTTTGACTGCAGACTGAAGCTGACACCAACAGTTACTTTCTTCTGTGTTCAGCGACAAAGCCAGTTAAATAAAATACAAAACGTAGTTAGACAAACGTTGGTCTGATACAATCCACTGCAACGGTTAATCAATGCACTCCTCCTGTGCATTCAGATAGGCAGGAAAAAAGCAGATTTCCCTCATTCTTCCATTTTTCTACGCATCCTTTCATATATGGACTGTATCAGCCATTTTGCTAATGAACTGCACTGTAACTTAATGTACAGTTACATTTTATAATTAACTGTATAAATACTACCTAATATTGTCCTTCAGTAAACATGGCCACTGGCCTGATATGCAACCTGATCTTGTCCCACTCAATTATCCTTAGGTTCATGAAAAACCTAGCAAAAGAAAATACATCTCTGTTTTCTGTTAACCTTCTGGCTGTGAAGAATGTGGCAAGGAAAACGCTTGTGAATTACCAAGTCTGTGGAAAAGAAAATACTGGTCACGAAAATGCCCAGTATTGTTATATTTCAGTACTCTTCAGATGAAGATGTGATGAATCCAAGAAAAAATAGATAAAAATTGGAAACCTATCAAGAGATTAAGAGCACATGAATCTCAATATTTATTCCATGATTATAAAAAAACCAACCAATCAAAAAAAAACCCCCAAAAAACAAAACCTTGTGCTATTACAGACAGAAATGTGTTTTCCAGGGGAAAGGCACCATCTTTCCAGCTCTACTATTCGGACTAATGTAAACCCAGAGCTTCAGTTATTAAAAGAACTTCAGCTGGCCTGGAAGACAGCAGGAAAAATAACGGCAAACTCTCCTGTTTTTACTGTTTCCTGAGTTCAGGCTGGGGTCAGGGTCAAAATAATATTGTACGTATTCTCCTCCCACAGGCAGTGGGATAAAGGGATCCAACAACAGCCAACTCAGGTACTACCATTTCACTGACCACCCAAACGAAGGAACAGTCAGCTTGCACTCACAAACATACAAAGCCACCCCAGAAAGGATACTGAGGATGTTGTGGTACCCTAGCTGTTATAGAGGGCTAGAGATCTGCAAGACATCTTTGACTCTGCACTTAAGTTTTTACTGGAATGTGTTTCATGACTGGAGCACAATGCAGACATAAGCAGCATGCGTTAAGGGGTTCCAGAAAAAAAGTCTTAGCGATTGTAACAACCTTCCTCAACAAGCCTGCAGCTGGCACACAGACTGAACCGTACTCTTCCTCGTGGTCCGATGCAGTTCTTTGATGGATGGTTGGAGCTCTTACTTCAGAGCTGCGTGCACAGTTTAGCGCAGACGCTTGTCTGCTAACAGGAACTATGCAGATGATATGCAAAACGCAAGAAGGCGTCTCCTGGCCAAAAGGCTTGGGAATACAAAAATACACGAATATGAAACAAACCAGAACACAAGAACGTGCCAAACACCAGGAGGGAAAGTTTTCAGATCACTTTGCTGGTTACTGTATGACTTGCCTTCATTTCACGCAGCTTTTTGATCCTTTTGTATTTAAGGAAACCAACGTCACAGATAGGAGACAGCCTTGTTAAGTAATGCTTACAACCTGCAGGAGAAAGGACTGCACTCCGGTTAGTTTTAGGAACATTAGGCTTGATCCAATTTGAAAACGTTGTCCAGATTGCACTAAGCAGTATTAAGATGTAGTTGAAGAAACTACATTAAAATCAGAACCTCCTCCAGAACCATTCCAGCCAGGCTGTTTCCTCGTAGAAGTGCTGCTACCATGATCTCGTCAACTGTGACAGCGTTAATGTTGCCCCTAGCAAGGATGGGTTTGTCAAGTCGCTGGCTCTTCTGTTCATAAAACGTGAGGGGAAGTGTTCCACTGAGTGAGTCAAGTCCAACATCCTTTTGCCTCCCAACGTGACCAAAAGCTTTCCTAGGTAGAGCATTTAATAAAACTGTAACAGTTAAAACTCCCACACTGTAACTGTGTAATTTCACAAACTTTTCCATTACACATCAACTGTCACTATGCAGAAAAACACTGAGTATTTGGTAGGCAGCAGCTGCAATGGAGCCATTTTTTTCTAAGCCCTGTTAAATAAACCTTCCCAATGAGTAACTCCATCAGCTCTTACTGTAGTACAGCTCACTGATCCTGCCTACTGAAAACACAATCTAGCCATGGGGTGGGGGGGAGCATTTAAGGTTCTTTGTTCTTAACACACAATAAACTCATCATAGCCATGCTCTCGGCTTAGGCCACCTCTAGCATTTCTGATAAATTCTTTTACAAATCACAGTGCCTTGGTTCCTGCAAATACAGCGGTAAATCTGGAAAAACCAATATTCTTTTTCCACACTGCCATTTTTTCAGTCAGAAAATTTGGGCAGGTGCTGAAATAAGCTCTCTTGGCTCTTGAGAGTTCGAAAACCTATGGAGTCTGCCTGACTCCTTTTAACTGAGGAAAATACACCAGTGGTGCCATCGCCCAGAAGGAACCCCACTGGTGGCAACAAAGCAAGATGGAGGTCACAACAGGTCGCGCCTGTCAGAGGCTGCAGTCTCTTCTCTATCAGCGAGAAAGAACAGTCAGCAATGGCAATGCTAAAATTATCACCCCAGTTAGCCACCAGCAACCGAGCGGCTCAGTTCTCCTGCAGTGACCAGTTCAGCAGACTCACAGAGATATCCCCAAGTGACTAAACCCCTCGAGTAACTGTTAAGAGGGCTTTTCTTTTTAAAGTTGTAAATACCACAGAGCTAGAAAATAGCCTGAGACATACATTCATGCATCTTGGATCTCAGAATGTGTAAGTTAACATTTGCTGGAGTTATCTGCCTTTCAATAGAATCATAGAATCACAGAATGGTTTAGGTTGGAAAAGCCCTTGAAGATCACCAAGCCCAACCGTTCCCCTAACCCTGCCATCCCACCACTAAACCCTGGCCCTAAGCACCTCGGCTGCCCAGCTTTTAAATACCCCCAGGGATGGGGACTCGACCCCTGCCCTGGGCAGCCCCTTCCAGTGCTTGACAGCCCTTTCTGGGAAGCAATTTTTCCCAATATCCAACCTAAACCTGCCCTGGCACAACTTGAGGCCATTTCCCCTTGTCCCATCGCCCGTTCCCTGGGAGGAGAGGCCGACCCCCACCTCACTACAGCCTCCTTTCAGGCAGTTGTAGAGGGCGATCAGGTCTCCCCTCAGCCTCCTCTTCTCCAGACTAAACAACCCCAGCTCCCTCAGCCGCTCCTCGTATGACTTGTGCTCCAGACCCCTCACCAGCTTTGTGGCTCTCCTCTGGACATGCTCCAGCAACGCAACGTCTTTCTTGTAGTGAAGGGCCCAACACTGAAGCAAGCATTCAAGGTGGGGCCTCATCAGTGCCAAATAGTAATGGTTTAAAATCACCAACATGAACGGCACTCGGGCATTTCCTTTTAAGTGGTGCTTCTGTTCTAACACACCCCTTGTCTTTCTCAATTTTGTTCATAAATAAGGACAAGATGAAGGTGGAGGCATTTTGTTCTTTCACTGTTTTCTGGGAACCAGCAACTGACACATCTAATACCCACTGATGGATTAGCGCTGACCGCGTTACTCATTACAGCCTGATTTCGGTTTGTGCCCACCACATTTTCAAAATTAGTGAAGCTGAAATGCAGACCTCTGACCTGTAAGCAGCTCTCAGGAAAAATCCTTATCAAGCTCATTACACATTTCTGTACCACTCAAGTTTGAAGGCGAACTTCAGACTGATTTGATAGCGTACAACCAAATTTTTGTTACACGTGCCGCAAAATTCTGTTGGGTATAGCACGTATTTAAACCAACCAGCTGACTGTGTTGCTGCTCAGACGTGGCAGATGTGCTCAGGATGGGGAACAGCACACGCTGCATGCTGTATTCCCAAGGAAACCTTTCCAAGTATGAAAGAAAACAGTCTGGAAATTTCAGCACTGTCAGTGCCAAAAAGGAATTTTTTTTTAAATGTGTAACCTATAAAAACCATCTTTGCTAAAACAAAAAGTGCTCTGTATTGGCCTGACCTGATTAAAGAGTGGTTTCCTCATTGCTGTGTTATTTTACCATTTAGGAAAGAGAGAGAACACCCACATTGTTAAGGTTTTTTTAACTTCTCGTTAGATGGTGTATACTTTTCAGAAATCTAATTATTTGTAAGCTGCACCAGGAAAAAAAATAGTTCTTCCACCTCCCGACTTTTTCTCCGAAAGAGAGACACACCTTTATGGATCTCACAGCAGCGCCTGTGTAACTTCCTGGCCTCTGATCCTTCCATTATCCCATGGGACATCAGGACCTGCAGGAACCGTCGATGAGCATCAGTCATCTGAGCTGCCATCGCAGCGCTCCACCAGGCTGCAAACACTGCAAGAGGGGTAAACTGGAATTAGTGCACATGCTCACGCAAATTAAAACTACACAGCCCAAGCCTAGGTAGGGTCCAATTAAACTAACACTGGATTGGGGCAAAATAGCAGATCCCCCAGGCTGTTCCCAGAACACAGGTGGTGAGGAACTCCAAGGTTCTAGGAGAAGCATGCAAAAGATAAAGCCCAACTAATTTTAGCTACAGAATAAAACAGCGTAGGTAGGCACTGTGCTATCACACCCCCAAGACGCAAAGAGCAGCGCTGTACGTGTAAGGATCAACAGAGCGCCTCGCGTGGTTTTGCGTTGGAGGCTTCTGCTCACCCCACGCACGTCCTCGTAGCTTGTCTAATCAGAGGAGCGTGTCTTCTGCCGGGCAGAAAATCCTCCTCTAACATCAGAACTAAATAACAGCACCGCGAGAAGCTCCTTGGCCGCTGCAGCCAAACA